TTTTTTTTTTTAAATGTGGGTCAAATATGGCTCATGAAAGATGTGGCTTAGTTGGGGTTGAATTAAGGCTGATATCAGGAACCTGTTCTGGCCCAGAGTAGGGCCGGATATGGTTATACAATGCGGCTCAGATCCGGCCCGAATGCGGCCCGGATCATGGATGCCAGACCCGGGCCACTGCAGGACCGTCATTCATTGCGGTATGTGGGCCGAGTGTCGTGCCGTGTCCGCGCCAGAGCTGGGCCAGACCAATTTTGCTGACTGGGTATTTTCAGCTAAAAATGCCTTATTATACATGGTCGTTATTTTCGGGTTAAAATGCCTAACTATATATACATGGTCGTTTTTTTTCAGGTTAAAAGGCCTTACTCTCCATGGTTGTTTTTTTTGGCTAAAAACGCCTTACTATACATGGTCGTTACTTTCGGCTCAAAGCGGCTTACTATACATGGTCGATTGTTTTGTCTAAAAATGCCTTACTATACATGGTCGTTATTTTCGGGTTAAAACACCTGACTATACATGGTCGTTTTTTTTCGGGTTAAAATGCCTTACAAAACATGATCGTTTTTTTCGGGTTGAAACGCCTTATTATACATAGTCGTTTTTTTTCGGCTAAAAACGCCTATACTATATATGGTCGTTTTTTTTTCGGGTTAAAACGCCTTACTATACATGGTTGTTTCGGGTTAAAATGCCTTACTATACATGGTCGTTTTTTTCGGCTAAAAACTCCGTACTATACAATATACATGGTCATTTTTTTCGGCTAAAAACGTCTTACTAAACGTGGTCGTTATTTTTGGCTAAAAATGCCTTACTATACATGGTCACTTTTTTTCGGCTAAAAACGCCTAACTATACATGGTCGTTATTTTCGGCTAAAAATGCCTTACTATACATTGTCGTTTTTTTCGGCAAAAAACGCCTTACTATACATGGTCGTTTTTTTCGCGCTAAAACGCCTTACTATACATGGTCGTTTTTTTCGGGTTAAAACGCCTGCCTATACATGGTCGTTTTTTTCGGGTTAAAACTCCTTACTATACATGGTCGTTTTTTTCGGCTAAAAACACCTTACTATACATGGTGGTTTTTTTCAGCTAAAAATGCCTTCGGGTTAAAACGCCTTACTATACATGGTCGTTTTTTTCGGGTTAAAACGCCTTACTATACATGGTCGTTTTTTTCGGCGAAAAACCCCTTACTATATGTGGTCGTTTTTTTCGTCTAAAAACTCCTGACTGTACATGGTCATTTTTTTTCTGCTAAAAATGCCTTACTAAACATGGTCGTTTTTTTCGGCGAAAAACACCTTACTATACATGGTCGTTTTTTTCAGGTTAAAACGCCTTACTCTCCATGGTCGTTTTTTCCTTCGAAAAACGCCTTACTATACATGGTCGTTTTTTTCAGGTTAAAACGCCTTACTCTCCATGGTCGTTTTTTCCTTCGAAAAACGCCTTACTATACATGGTCGTTTTTTTCAGGTTAAAACGCCTTACTCTCCATGGTCGTTTTTTCCTTCGAAAAACGCCTTACTATACATGGTCGTTTTTTTCAGGTTAAAACGCCTTACTCTCCATGGTCGTTTTTTCCTTCGAAAAACGCCTTACTATACATGGTCGTTTTTTTCAGGTTAAAACGCCTTACTCTCCATGGTCGTTTTTTCCTTCGAAAAACGCCTTACTATACATGGTCGTTTTTTTCGGGTTAAAACGCCTTACTATATGGTTAAAACGGCTTACTATACATGGTCTTTTTTTTCGGCTAAAAACGCCTTCCTGTACATGGTCGTTTTTTTCAGCTAAAAACGCCTTCCTATAATTGGTCGTTTTTTTCGGGTTAAAACGTCTTACTATACATGGTCGTTTTTTTCAGCTAAAAATGCCTTACTATACATCAGGGGTGTATAACATACGGCCGGAACCGGCCCGCAAGGAGGCTTGATCAGGCCCGCAGAATAATGTGAAAAAATGCACAAAAGACACAGAATGAATATTTTTAATATGGTGCAATTCGTGGAATATCCTCTTGGGGGACACACTGTTTTGATCAGAGGAAAAGACAACATTGTTTTGATCAGATAAGAAGACAACAGCAGCCTCAGTCTGTCTCTGGGACAGGCCCAACACAGCAGACGCTATCAAGGACATGTGAATACTTTATTCTTTACACACACACCAGACGCGATCAAGGACAAGAAAACTTTATTCTTTACACATTTAATAGCGCTCTCCTTAGTTTATAAGGTGTAGGCAGGGATTACATTTTGATGTTATATGCATATGTGTAAATGGTTGAAAAATTCCTTTCTTTATAAATCTCGTTTAATCTTAAAATGCATTACTATATTTTTCACTACCAATTACTTGTTAAAGTTTTGTGCCTTGGTACAATCAGTGTCAGTTGCAATGCATATATATGAATGATCAAAGTAAATTGCACATTTGTCGAAGAAAATCTAAGGTGCTTCATGAAATGTTTTGTTCATTAAATTTCAACATTTTCCTTGTGTTCTTGTGCATCTTTAGACCAAAACAAAGGAAAGACATATTATTTTGGTTATTTATCGCAGAGTATGGTATAATTTTTAATGGTCCGGCCCACTTGACATCTACCGAGGCCATATGTGGCCCACAATGTGAAATGAGTTTGACACCCCTGGCCAAGAAAGCAAAATGACAAAACGACACGATCTCTTTGTGCAACTCATCTTCAATCGAAAACGAAGTTGGCTTTGGAAACTATCTCCTGATCTCAGGATGGCATTCTGAAGGCAGGCAGTAGGAAACACTGGTGTGGTCGATGGGTTATGGGTGCGGTTGGAGTGCCATCACATCGCCCACGAGAGACGCCAACCGTCTCACCAATTATGTTCTTTTTTTTAACCTTCAAAACCTCGTGTGGTCAGCTGCCCTTGACTAC